TTTAATATCTACAACCTCCTTTTCATTATTCTTTCCCAAAATTTTGGTGTTTCCAATTCATCTGCTTTTCCATATGCCCTTTTAAATCATTTGGTTAAGTTTTAAACAACAGCAAAAACTTTGGGAAATATATTTAAATTGCTTTAACTATTTGAATTAATTGAAAAACACAAGCATCTTTTCAATACTTTTCCTATTCAAGAACATGGATTGTGTTTCTATGAAAGTCTTTTATTACAGGGCTGTCCAGTTAGCTCAGCTGGTTAAAGTGAGCTATTGGTAACACCAAGGTGAAGGGTTCAGATCCCTATACTGGCCAACTGCCAAGATAATAAGTAAATAAANGTACATTGAGAGCCCACTGCTTAACCCAACAATTTTTATAAATAACCTGCTTCAATATAAGCCTTATTTTCCTTTAATATATCAAAGTCTGGATACGTGATTCAAAGTCTCACCTTGGACCCAGATGCCAGACTGCCTCCTAGCTGATCATACTTCAAGGTAGTGATAGCAGCTTTGTGTCCATTGAAGGTCACATTTCCTTCCCCACTGAGGAGACTGAAGATTCGAATAGACCCATCCTCATAGCCAACAGCTAAGTGTAGCCCATCTGGGGAAGGGCACAAGCAAGTGACCTCTTGTTTAAGTCCCTGAAGGATGAGGATCTGAAATTGTAAGAATCAAAAACAATGTGAGTTAAGCATATAATCAAGGAAAAAGTAGGAGAATAATCAGGCACAGTAAAATTGAGAGCATCAATAATTCCAAATTACTCTTATGAATAATAATGAAACTCTACAATCCATCTCCAGTTCTCTAACTTAGGAATTATTACTTATACTAGGCAATGAAACATTCAAGCAAAGATAAAATTATTTTCTCCAAAGCTCTACATCAGCAGAACACATGTAAAAATTCCCCAGGCAATGGACTAAATTACTAAGTCTTTATGCTAGGCTAACACCAAATGATTTTCAATAAAAGGTCATAAACCCATCCTTGCTTTAACTGAGCCTCATTTTATGAGAAACCAGTCTGCATGGTAATAGAGTACTATAGTGGTTTCCTTCCCAAGAGACTCTGGGTGGCAATAAGTATCAAAGTAATAACCATTTGGGAGTCTCACAGTAAATGGACAAGATCAAAATGGCTATAGTTGTTTTGGCAGAAGTGATAGGCTTAGGGAATTCAGGGTCACACAAAGTATCAAAGCCTACTTTAACAATGCTTGGGCCTCATCTGTGTAAGTACAAAAAAAATCCTTTTAAAATAGTACAGTAATACTTTTTAAAAATGCCTAATATTTTACAACTAACTAACTGCG